GTTGCGCCAGTAGCAGTCGACAGGCGTCGAGCTGGTCGTGGCACTCGCGCGCGCGCTTCTCCGACTCTACAACATGCGACATGAGATAGTATGTCCGTGGATCGATAGACAAGTTGTTGTTGTTGTTGCTTACGGGCCGCGCGAAGTGCGAGGTCGTTGGCCTGGTCCCTCAACGCGGCATTTTCGTTTTCCATCACCATCAGCGAGCGCCGCACGATATCGATTTCGGCTTGGGCCGCGTCGGCATTTTTTCGGTTGACCTCGGTCGTCTTGGTTACTGAAAGACGCAGCGCATCCAAGTCTCGCTGGGCGGTCGTGTACTGCAAGGTTGCAGCTTCGAGTTGGTTGGAAAGGCTTTGAATGCGCAGTTCTTGGCCCATGACGCGCTCTTCCAAAGCGCTGCCATTTTGGAGCGTTTAGCGGCGAAACGCTGTACATTGTACACAGTGCGTACCGGTGAAGGGAGCTGTTGTGGTGGTCGGCAACATCCAGCACTTGCTTTTGAACACTGGCACGCTCCTCAAGCTCGTCTCGGTCGGCTTTGATACTCTGCAGCGCCCGTTTGAGCGCCGAGAGCTCGTCCTGAAGACTGTACGCGTCGTCGGCGCAGTCGGGACAGATGCACTCGAGCGGATTGTTGCTGGCCGACGGAAGACAAGAGGGGTGCCAAAAGCGTCCGCAGTTGCCGTCGCAAAGCACAAGCTCGGGCTCGCTGCTGGCGCACACATGGCACGTCGATCGGAGGCTGGTGTCGCTGTTGGCGCTCGCTAATGGCGGCGGGTCGGTGGCGGTACTGGTGCCGCTGCAGCGCGGACACACGGTCGTCTTGCTCTCGAGCGATGCAACGTAGACCGACAGAGCGGCACTAGATGTGGTCAAGTTGTCTTTTTTCAAAAGACGCCACAATTGGGAAATACACTTTGAGTTCGAGAGTCTGCAGCAGTTGCTTGTACTCGGAGATCGTCCGCTCGGTATTGACTTGCGGCGAGTTGGTCACGTGTTGCGCCCTTGCGCCAAACCGAATCGTCGAGAGCGTCTCTTCCTAGTCCACTTTAAAAGTTAGAATCGATCTTCGCCACGAGGGAAAAAGAACATACCAAGTTTGTCGCACTGCTTGAACATGTCAAAATGAGGTGCGTTTTTGCGTTGCCCCCCAGCGAGTTCTACACCGCGTCGATACCTCGGATTCCATGGCCAGTTGCACCCACCTGGAGAAGCCGCGTGAGTTTGCTGTCCCGGTATGGAATGTGCTTGGACCGTCCGTCCGTGAGTGCGTTGATGACAAGTCCAAGCGCTGTGAGTGACTACGCACATCTCTCCAACGCCACGTTCACGCTTGCAAATCGGTGAACCTTGTTGATGTGCTTGGCTTCGTCAAGGCGCTTGCCCGATGCAGCGGTCTTGCGCACCATCTCCGACCCAGCGAGGTCCACGAGGTAGAGCTTGCCTACAGAGTGCCTTAGCGCGTTAATATGAACCGGACAGGTACTCTAACCTGTTTGCTTGAGGCCCGACGGAAAGCGCTGGGTGACGGTGAGCACAAAAATGCAGTGGCTGCGACTCGACTCGGCGTTCATCAAGTGTGCCCCCATGGAGCGCCCCATCAGTCCTTTCTGAACGAGTCGGAGAGTTGACGGCGGATCCGCCACCACGATGTCGGCCGCGCCTTGGACCCAGATGCCTCGCTCTCTATATCACATCGGTGCATATATTGTCTTTCGAAAAAGGACAACTTGTCTTCGCGGATGCGCAGATGGGCGTTCGAGGGGTTGAGAAGGTCCTGGAGCTTTTCTTGGTAGACTTCAAAGAGGCCCGTCGACACCTCTGTCGCGGCGTCTACAGACCCAGTAGTATCCACACCCGCGCACCCAGTGGAAGCGAACCCGACGGTCGCGCTGCGATTGCCTCGAACGTTCGCTGTACGAGGCGTGGAAGTATGCCTTTTTCGGTCTTGGAGCCGAGAATTGTGTGCGTCTTGCCGCTTCCTAGGGAGCACTGCCAAGTGACGCGGCCACGTCATCATCCCTCTTCAACACGACCTGTCTGCCCATAGGCAAGGATCGTGCAATTGTAGCCATTCAGGAGCTCTTCAATGACCGGTATCCCAATGTGTTCAAAGATGGTTTCTTGGGTCGTCTCGGGGGGAAAGACGCGGTCAAAGGAAAACTGCGTGCCCTTCATACTTGGGAGAACCACCGTCGTCGGCCCTGGAAACTCGAGGCCGAGCGCGCTTCCATCGTCGTTGCCACCGCGGAAGCGGCAACTCACCTGGACGGTTTGCGCCATCCCTTGCATGCTCGTTGTAGGACGGTTTCGCCCCCGCCCCCACCCCTAGCCCCCGTAGCGAATCTGCACGACGGTCTATGGATATACTGAAGCAGCCATGACGCCGCCGGCGATCGTATGCGCTGTCGTGTAATCTTTTCATATGATAAAAGTGTGTGGACAACTTGTCTTGAATCCAAATGGACTGTTCACTTTACGGCGTGC